TTCAACATGTTCAACACCTGGGGCTGTGTGTGTGTGTGTGTGTGTGTGTGTGTGTGTGTGTGTGTGTGTGTGTGTGTGTGTGTGTGTGTGTGTGTTGCTCGTTGTGTGACCTCAGTGTTTGGTCTCAGGTCAGAGGTCACAGATGGATCCTCAGGAGCACAAAGCAGCGAGCAGAGCGAGAGGAAGGCGTGGAGGAAGAGCAGGTGAGGCTGATGAAGGTGATGTGCAGTGAGGGTAGGGAGCAGTAGGTGTGACCTGTGTCTGTCCTGTGATTGGCTGTCCAGATGGAGCCAGAACCAGGACAGGTGATGGAGGTGGGTTTCAGGCAGCAGGAAGTCCAGCCTCAGGTGAAGATGAAGCGGCGGGCGGGGTGTGGACGCTGCGTCCGCTGTCTCAGGAAGGACTGTGGACAGTGCGTCTACTGCCGGGACATGAAGAAGCACGGGGGTCCGTCACGGCTCAAACAGAAGTGTCAGCTGAGGCGGTGTGAGGTAGGAGCAGGCCACGCCCCCTGCTGCCCGGGGAGGGACGGTCAGCTCACGGTTTGTTGCTTTGTTTGTTTTTCTCAGATCATCAGGAAAAATCTGAAAACAGAACCAGACCGCATCCAGATCCCAGAGAGGACAATTACCACGGCAACGGAGACGGTAACCATGGCAACAAGGTTTACGTTGTTCTCAGTCCCGAACGGGTCAATCAGTCGATTAAATACGAGAAGAGACCTGCTGCTGGAAAAATCACTAAAATCGAGGGCCTTGCCTTATTTGAGTGTTGGCAGCTGTTTTTATCCACCTGAAATAAAAAGAAAGGCTCGGCGGTGGGACGGCTGCTTTTACTTTTAGTGGCGTTTCTTGTTACCATGGCGATGTAAATCACAAAAAAAACTACTGTCAAAAGTCCTCAGCTCAGCTCCCAACTGACTTTAAATGTCACACAGAGTGAGACTACTTCCTGCAGCCTTAACTTTGATGAAACACAGACGAGTTATACATCAAAACGTAGACATTTTTGTCTTCTTTCAGACGATATTTGTACTTTTTCTGTAGGACAAACAGTTTTCTCTCAAAGTGTCAGAAGTCAGGAAAGTACCACTTCTCTTCCTATCTTTGTGTAAAATTTATTTCACGCTCTTGTYATGAAGCAAAAACAACTATATTTAACTGGTCATATCTCTGGGATAAAGTGTTTTATGAATTATAAAGTTTCCATGAGTGAAAACTAATCTCTTCAGTCGCTCTCGGTTCAAGGATTATCAGACCAGATCTACAGTTTTCACACAGCAGCTGGTTGTTTGAAACAAACTTCTCAGAGATTTTCTCATGTTGAAAGTTCTGCAGATCCTTTCTGCCCCGCCCTGTGATGACATCACAACCAGGCCTTCTGATTGGCTGAGGCTGTTGCTGGGCAGAGCAGTCTCACTGACAGAACAAGGTGCTTCATGTAAACAGATCATCAGTTTTAAGACATACAGTATAAAGCTGTCATTTGGTGCGGTGTTAGCTGAGAGCTAACTCAACACATTCTGAATGCTAAACAGAAGTTTAAGCTAACCGCTAATGCTAGTTTAAAAAGGCTCTAATTCAGCCATTTTAAGACTTTCAGAGCTGAAACTGGTGTACTGGGAGCAAAGAACAATCTTTGACAAATTCTGAATGCTAAATAAAAATTCAACATGGCCGCCAGAGCTAATTTGAAACTGTAATAACTCAGCCGTTGTCAGACATTTGATGTTAAAATTTGTTGTGGTGTTGACCAAGAAGGAGCTCCATCACATACTGAAGCCATATCAAAAATCCAAGATGGCTGCTATAGCTAAAATGCAAAATTAAGCATGACTCAGCCATTTTTAGACATATTTGGCCCAGATTTGGGATGATGGTACATATCAGTAATCTACAAAAAACAGTCATTTCAAATGTGGAAAAATGTTTAATGAAACTGGAAAGGCCTTTCATAGTTTCTGCAGGAACTCTTCTAGTTTAAACTGCTCTGCTGTTAAAACACAGGAACCAAACAGATGAAACTCTGATCTGATGAAACTGTTCTCGTTTGGTGATGTTCAGGTGAGGCGGAGGAGGAGGGGCAGGCCCAGGAAATGTGGAGAAAAACTGCTGAAGTTGAAACATGATGGAGTTCCTGTGACGAAGAAGGACAAGAAGCTGAAGAACAGAACCAGAACCGCAGACGAGAAGGTCGGTTCTCCCGCTGCAGGAACGTTGGCAGGACCCTAAACGGGTTCCAGTTTCTCAAAGTGTTTGTGTTCAGGAGGTGAAGATGAGGAGAAAGAAGAGGAGGAGGAGGAGGAGACTAACGAGAGCAGACAGGAAGTCACCGATCAGTTCGGAGTGGGATGAACCCGTGGACGATGAAGAGGAAGAGGAAGGGGCGGAGACACCTCAGGTTGGGTTTTATTTTGATACATCTCTTCAGGAAGTGGACGTGGCGTCCATCACTCTGTCTGTCCCCAGTGTCCACTTCCTGTTGGACCCTCACCTCCTGTTGGACCCTCAGGACAGCTGACTCAGCTGCAGGTAAAACCTTGTTGTCCTCGTGTTCCACTCAGGATCAGACTGGAGAACTGATTTGATTTGTTGCAGGTGAACCTGACTCCGGACGGCAGCCATCTTGCTCAGGGCGTCCTCTCTGACTCCACCCTCACCTGCCTGCCAGGACTGCTGCCTCAGGTAAACCTACAGGTGTGCTGCTACGCTAACACAGGTCGGACTCATTCAGAGTCTAAACTGTGGTTCAGCTGACTCTGTCCTGTTTCCATGGAAACGGTCAGCTGACAGACAGGAAGTGGGTCCAGAACGTCGAGTTTAATGAAAACGGGTCGAAGGTTGGAGCTGATCGTGTCCTCTGTTCTCCAGGTTTCCACAGGCCTAACCTTCATCCCTCCTCCTCCTCCTCCTCCTCCTCCTGCTGTCGTCCAATCAGTGCAGCCGAAGGAGGAGGAGGAGCCTGAGCAGATCGACCTGTACTGGAAGGGCGGGACAGGTGGATGGAAGGAGGAGGAGCCTGTGCAGATTGACCTATCGAGGAAGGGCGGGACAGGTGGATGGAAGGAGGAGGAGGAGGTGTGTGGTGAAGGAGTGTCGGACAGAGGGAGGTTCTACGACTTGCTCGTGACGTTGCCGGACTTTGACGAGGACACTCGGATGGTGCCCTCACCAAACATGTCTGCTGAATCTGAAGCTGATGCAGCGTCTGATGTCACCGGAGCTGTGGAAACTGCTGACATCATCAACACGCGCCCAGAGTTCCTCTCATTGGTCAGTGGAGCTGTCAGTCATCATCACTGTTGTAAACAACAAGCTGTAAACCTYCATCATCTCTCTGCTTTCAGAACTCGTGGTCCTTCAGCCTCTTTGGAGGCGGGGCTTGTCGCAGCCTGACAGGTAGGCGGGGCTTGCTGTGTCTGCTGCATGCACTGAGGAGGACGGTGCTGCCAGCCCACTGGGTGGTGGTCCTGGCTGACAGACCGGAGCTGCAGCTGCTGCAGTGCTCCAGGGTATGAAGGTGTTGATGAACTCATGATGTTTGACTCGTTTACCTGTTCCTCTGACGGCTGCAGCTTTACTAACTTTTAAAACATTTTAAAACATTTTAAAAAATTAAAAACATTAAAAACATTTTGAATATTTAAAAA